GGGAACTGCTGAACAATTCTGACAATTTCTGAGAAAACTGCTGAAAACTTTCCAGCATTACACGAGGAAATTCAAAGAAGTTTCCTTGGAACTGCCCAGAAGTTCACTTGAAAGTTCCCAAAAATGTATTAGGGTTCTCTAGAATTAAATTTCTTGAAAGTTCTTTCCGGAAGTTCATGAACTTGTCGACAGATCCTCTCTGGAATTATGTGAATTGCTGGAAAATACGTGAGCATCACTAAAATTTCGTTAACGTCGCTGAAGAACCGTGAGCAACTTTGAAGATCCGTGAGCGTCTTTAAAGTTCTTTGAGCTACTTTCAATTTGTGCGAACTTCCCTGCAATTCCATGAACTGTTCTGAATTTTCGTAAACTTATCGGCAGTTTCGTTTGCTTGTCGGAAGATCGGTAAACTTGTTGGAATTTTCGAGAAATTGTTGGAAGTTCCGTGAAATTCTCGGAAATGGAGAAGTTCAGAGAACTTCCGATAAGAAATTCAGAGCAGTTCAGAAAACACCTGACAAGGAGTTCAAAGGAATTCCGACGCAAGGTCAGAGAACTTCTGACGATAAATTCAGTGAACTACCGAGAAGAAGTTCTGAGAACTTTCGACGTGAAGTTCAGGATACTTCTGATGAGAATTTTTGTGAATTTTAAACGTTCTCGTTCAGAAGAAAAGTTCAGAAAACTTCCGAGCAGAAGTTCAGATAACTCCTGAAAAGAAGTTCAGAAAAATTCCGAGGAAATGTTCAGAGAACTTCCGAGGAGAAGTTCAGAGAGCTTCTGGCGAGACATTCTAAGAACTTCCAAAAATAAATTCAGAGAGCTTCCAACGAGATGTTCAGGGAACATGCGACAAGAAGTTCAGAGGACTTTCGAGCAGAAGTTCAGAAAACAAGTTCAGAAAACACAAAGTTCAGAGACATCAGACATCTTTTGACGATAAGTTCAGAGATCTTCCGATGAGAAGTTCAGAGAACTTTCAAAGTGAAGTTCAGAGAGAAAATTCACAGAACTTCCGAAGAAAATCTCAGATAAGGTCTCTGAACCTATAGCGGGAACTTCTTTGAACCTCTCGTTGGAAATTATTTGAACTTTTCATCGCAAGTTCTCTGCACTTCTCGTCAGTAGTTCTATGAACTTCTCGTCGGAACATGTCGGAAGATCCGAAAACATGTCGGAAGTTCCGTGAACTTATCAGAAGTTCCGTGAACTTTTCGGAAGTTTCCTGAGCTTCAGAGAACTTCCAAGGAGAAGTGCAGAGAACATTCTACTATAAATTCATAGAACTTCCGACTAGAAGCTCAGCAAACTTTCGACAAGAGCTTCAGACTGACGAGATGTTCAGAGAACTTCTGAGGATAGGTTCAGAGATTTTCCGACAAGAAATTCAGAGAACTTCCGACTAGAAGTTTGGGGACCTTCTGATGAAAAGTCCACAGCACTTGTGAGGATAGGTTCAGAGAACTTCCGACGAGACGTTCAGAGAATTTCCGAGGAGAAATTCAGAGAATTTCTTACTAGGAGTTCAGAAAACTTCGTACTAAGAGCGCAGAGATCTTCCAAGGAGAAGTTCCGAGAAGTTCCGAGAAGTTCCAAGGAGCAACTCAGAAAACTTCCGAGGAGACGATCAAAGAACTTACATCGAAAAATTCAGCCAATTTCCGACGAATTTAGAGGACTGTCAAGGAGAGGTTCAGTGAACTTCCAACGAGAAGTTAAAGAAATTCAGAGGAGAACCTCCGACGGCATGTTCAATAAACTTCCGACGAGATGTTCAGAGATCTTCTGACAAGAAGTTCAGAGTGCTTCCGACGAGAAGTTCAGAGAACTTCCAAAGAGATGGGTATTATTTTCTTTGAACAATGTATAACAGGCGTCAGAGCTGTTTTTCCAGTGATAAGATACAGAGTCTAAATATGACACTGTCACTTCAAATTTTCTAGAGTACAAATCTCGGACACCATTGTGGTTTTGCGCTTGAAGTTTACAATATTTACTACGTTGCGTAAGCGTTGGGATGCATTTTTCGTCATTTTATGTTTTCTGTTGGCTAATATTTATGTTCGGGAAGATTTGAATTGATAATGATATCCTTCAGAAAAGGGTTCCCAGACGTTTCACCTTCACCAAAATCGAAGCGACTCTTTTCTGGTCCAACAATTGAATAAGGCCTAGCAGCTTTTCTAGACAAAACTTTGGAAGTGCTTTCCTCACAAAGCATAGGCCGCCCATGCAAACCAACAGCATCATCGTGTAGGGGTGGTTTGCGGGGGTGGCCTACGAATTTCAAGGAAAGGGCTTAAACCGATTTTTTACAAAGGCTGATAGCCCTTTTTTCAATTGTTTGACCAGTTTTGCCAGTGAATACACGCACAAAATCTAGATTAAATCGTGTTTATCTTGCATAAGCTGCATCTATCGCTATTGGCGTTAACGACACCGTCGAAAAATCGTCTCTTCTTGCAAAGATCGACAGTTTCTTACGAGGTTTCTTATGAGATTTTTTGGGGGAGTGAAAGAATAGTACAAAGTCCACCATGCTTCACGCACAGTCTGACGTTTACTTATGGATATGACCATAGGAGTAAAGAGCTACAGAGTCGCCGTCAACGGCAATTAGAAAACATCATTGACAGGTATGATGTGACAAGCACATTCTTTGGAACCTGTTCTTGTAACTGACAAGCAAAGCATGTGGTCTTATGACAGTTATTGATTTCGTTATTCTGACAAACATGTGTATGCGAAATGAGCATCTGTCACCTTGAAAATAACGCGATATTTGCTTTGACTGGCAGCACTGGACGTTTGAAGTTTTCATTATTATCTTGACAAACGGCGCCGGTGGTGTAGTGGTAAGCGTGATTACCTCTCACCCCAGCAGGCCTGGGTTCAATCCCAGTCGGCGCCACCGGGATGTTCTGAGGCATAACATCTCTGATCACGCCTTCCTTCGGATGGGAAGTAAAGCCGTTGGTCCCCGGTTCATGAGTTGATGGGTCGATATGTAGGGTCCAGGTGTGGGAGCTGCCTTCCTGGCACGTCGGTAGCATTGGTGCTCAGCACGGAAAACAAGATCGACGGAAAAAACAAACCAAAGGAAAAAAAAAAAAAAAAAAAAAAAAAAAAATATTATCTTGACAGTGGGTGCTGCTTCTACTTCAAATCGAATGATGGATGCGAACCAGCCTCAGGCTGAAAGCCTCCTTAATAAAGATAAATCAATCAAATCGAAAACGGAAGCGATGACTTCTTCCATAATTTACTGGTGAATCTAAATTCATCCGCGATTATTGGCTATCATTGACTCTGATTATGCTGGTGCTTTGTTTGGGCTAGCAAATTAGCGAACAATGTCATTGTTTACGTTTGAGAAATTAGGGTCGAATTAATATGCAGTCGTTGGCTGAAGTTGCTTCTTGTTTATCTCTGGTAAGAAGGTCTAAGATTTAAATAAAATACATTGAATTTATCAGTATTTATGAACTTTCAAACCATTCTTCGTTACATGAATCCCTCACAGAATTAACCCAAAATAAATGAACTAGATAAATAAATCGAAATTAAATTAACTTGCTGACGTTACCAACTAAACCGGTTTCATCAGCAAGTTTGCACGGCATCTGGCATGAATTTCTCTTCTGCTGTTCTCTTAAGCTAGCCTGTCTCTAAACTTGTGCTGAAAACAGTAACTTATCGCTTATGTTGATTGTGTTAAATAATAACTCATTAATATTTACGAGTGCTTCGATTTCTTAACCATAACTTAATCGATAAATTATCAACCGAATTGTGTAACTTTGAATACATTGCTGATGTTGCATAACTTTAAATCTTCCAAATATGTACACAAATACGCATTTAAAAACAATTCTCGTTCAACTTTTACCATAAATCGTAAAATATTCACGTTTTTGCTCCATCGCAAATATAACATTAACCATTTTGAATGATTATACTTCATAGTTCACTAGTGTCTGCTTCATTCAACCACTGCCTCTCGTCCAGTATTACAATTTAAAACAATTATCTTCTACTGCAGAATCTGGATGTCATATAAATATTAAAAAAAAAGAAAAACCTTTCTGTTTCACATTGCCACATACAAGATTAAAGATTTTCAAACATATGCTAAACTCGCATCGTCTCCTACACCGACGAATAACGCCGCCGCGCTGCTTGCCGCGCAACGAACTCCCTAAAAGCGTTATTGGTTTGCTTCTGGTTTTGCGTTACCTACTCCATTGTGGTTGGTTTAGTTTTGTGTTTTTTGGTTAATCTCACTCTTTTAAAATCTAGAAAATAGCTCTACCGTTGAAGTTGTCGGTTCATCGCATTTCACCGACTGCACTTTGTTTTCCTCATATATTATCGGCTAAGCATCTTTGTGTCTGTGTCTGTTGTTTAAGCCCTGAAGGTGTGTGTGTTTTTGAGTGTGCTGTAAACTATTTCCCGAACACGGTCAGAATCACCCATTTTCATTAAATAGGATTTTACTCATTGATTTAGTTTAGCTTTTAATGAGTAACTGTTACTCATAAATGGATATCAGTTACGCATTAATGGGTAATCAGTTGCTCATAAATGTAGATCCCTTTTCATTGGAAATGGGTGCAATTTTACCCATTAATGGGTAGTTGATTCTTACCGTGAATGTGATGTGCTCTCTTTGCCGGTGCAAGCTGCAGAGGCGGTTCAGGTGAGGTTCGATTCCAGGGAACATAATCTGGCAACACTGCACCACTTCGCATGCGGCAACGCTTGCGACTGCTTTGACTGCTCTATTCCACCACATCAAGATTATTATGTATGATTCAATTTCTTTAGTTTGCTTTGTCTATTAAGAGAATGATTGTTCTGAGATTTACTACAGCGTTTAAAAATCGCCATATGATAAGATCTTCACGTCTAGCTTACCTGGTAGCCTTAGTTTAGATTAGTTAGTACAGTATGCATGTATTAAAATTACAACAATATTAATTGAAATTTCTGCTGGCTTGTTGTTTTTTTTTTCTAGTGTAAGTAGTAATGCTATCGGTTCTCATATTCTTTGTCTTCTTCTTCTTCTTCGTCTAATTCTTCATCATATCCCAGCGGAAGATGTTCTGTGCTAAATGTCACATTGAGGGATGCTGGGTGGTGGAATTTTGCTCGTTTCTCTTTGAAGAGGGAATGACATTTTGGTAGTGGTTGCTGTATTTCTCCGAGCAGAGCCTGGCCTTAGTCGTCCGGATCCAGCCCGATCAGTTCCAACTGTAGCCGGCCCTTGGTTTTGCAACAGATGGTGAGGAACAGTAACCGCACCAGGAGCCGGAACTGCGGCGACATGCTGGTCATGATGATGATCTTCCAGAACGAGTTGAGGATCCCCAGCCAGACTGCCCCGAACTGGACCATCGGATGGTCGTACGGTTCCCTCATCACCAGCTCGTAGATCCGCAGCAGGATGTACGGACCCCACGAGATCCAGAAGGAGAACACCAATGCAAATGACATACAGTGGCTCGGATTGGCCAGATTCTCGGCCAGTGCCGTGGCGTACTCCTTATCATGGATCGGTGCTCCCGATCGCACCTTACGCATCATGGTAAATATGTAACCATAGTTGTAGCCGATCGAGATTACACTCGGCCCCAGGACCAGGATTGCCAGCGTTGCACTATAGGCAGCCATGTTGCCCCACTCGAGCATACAGATGTGGGTCTCTTGGTTGTATCTGGCTTCGTTGTAGCCAAGCAGCGGTGGACAGCATAGCATCGCGGCCGAAATCCACGTGAACGCCATCCAGCATTGGCATCTGAGTTTTTTTTTATATTATTACAATGTGTGTTACAATTTTGTGTTCATTGAATTCAGTGGATATCACGTGGGGTGACCAGTACATCGATCGAGCGTTGGCGGCGTTGATCGGTGGTGGTGATGGGAAAAATGAGAGAAAACGAGAGAGAAGGTCTGCAGTTAGTATTCTGTAAGTTAAGCTTATAATTGGTTGAAAGCATTTATGTATATGTATGGTACAAAGGAGTCTGAAGCACTTACCGGATGGCACTTTCCATTAGCTAGGGCCCTCGAAAGATGTCATAGTTTGTTATCATACTAAAAGCTGAGTTGAAGGAGAGTTTTGAAACCCCTGAAATTTGATATTTCAGCAAATTTGAAATTTGCTTTGGTTCAAATCAGAGTCTGGCAAAGTGACCAGTTCTTTCGAGCACAACCGGAACGTATCTGACGGTGGGAAATGGGGTCATGATGGGCACTCAGTTTTATCATCACTGAGTAAAAATCACTAACTTTGAACAGTGCGAGCGCTCAATATATCTGTATCCGGGAACCCTTTCTCGATACCGGGCCGGGATTGCAATTTTCCCTGGCTCTGGATGCTCTTGCGCGATCTTCTACCTGCTTTGGTGTTCTTTGAAGCACTTACTTATTAATTGGGAGCTTTCAATGCCACTCAATGCTTGCACAATTTAATATAATAGGGGAAATGGATGTAATGTCGGTCTAAATGCCCCTAATTTGGGCCCATATAAAAATTCAGCAATCGACTAAATTTTCAATAGCGACCAAAAATATCCATTAGTACCGTCCCAATAACGCGTTCATCAAGATAAAAAATAATAAATAGCAGATTTTTAGCGATGGGCCCAATCTTAGTTCCATAGGCCAACATTAGAGCCATTTCCCCTACAATATATGCATTGCAAGGGTGCCATGAAAACGGTCTTCTTGAATTTTCGAAGCGGCGCATGTGCAAAATGTTTATTCCCTCGAAAAACGACCATGTGCAACATTTTTGTTCAATCGGACGTGGTTTGAGGTGGCTTAAAATCGGTAAAATTAGAGTTTTTTTTAATCGAAAAATGACACATGGAATTTCGGAACTCAATTTTTATTTTTGATGCCAAATGACATGAAAATCGTCGATATGATCGTCGAGATCTAGTGTTATCTCGACTTTCTGAGACTTAGCATTTTTCATTTTTTTTAAGTTCGGTGTATGTCTAGCCGAAGTATTTCTTACATTATACTAACGCCATCCTTTCAATGCATGCTATTGGATTCGTTGCATGGAACGGAGAAATCCTCGGTGATACGGAGAACTAAGGACGGCATTCAAGCTGATTACAACAGACGGTTCAGCAAAGGAACGATTGTGCATCCCGCATAAGTCGTCGACCCTGGTTTTCGCTGTGATGGACGATTGCAACGGTCGGTGGCAGAAGAAGGAGCGGCCATTTACTCCCTCCCCGGTGAGTGAACTTTATTGTATATGTCACTGCCGAGCTAGGCATACAGAAACTGGCAACTCTGTTGACACAAGTGCGGTTCTATACGGCTCACAAACTGATAGTTTATTTTCGCTGTTCAAGTGAGAATTTATTTGCGAGTGATTAGTGCACACAGTACTCTAGTGCCAAGGATCATTATTTGTCCTTTTGTTTTGTTTTTTTCCGTCGATCTTGTTTTCCGTGCTGAGCACCAATGCTACCGACGTGCCAGGAAAGCAGCTCCCACACCTGAAGGATCATTATTTGTACCAACACCAAATTTTCTCGGTATCATGAGTGGATAATACGTAGGAGGAGGAGGAGTTACAGCTGCAATGCAAATCCGTCGATGATGTACCTTCCTGTTCTTCATCCATCTTAAACACTCCAGAAAGGAATGGTGACGGTAATGATGACGACTACGATGATGACGACGATTACGAAGACGGCATTAATGTAACGTTGATATCATCACCACCACCAACACTACTACCACCGAAACAGTTCCAAGGAAGATTACTGGAACAACCAAAAACCCCATCAAAGGAAGAGAAGGGGAAAAAGGGGGAAAAGTTAAGTGGAGCGGGTCAAAAACGCTTCAAGCGTCTTGTGGAGAGTGGGCATAGTCGAGAAGAAGCTTTCCGCTTGGCTCAAACACCACAGCAACCGGCGGATTTATCAAAACGCTCGTGGCACTCAGATCTAAACGGTTCCAACAGCAGTGGTAATCCACGTCCACCGAAAATTCCTCGACAGAGCTGTGGAAATAACAAGCCTTCTAAATCAAGAAGCTCTGTACAGCATCGAATTGATGCGCATAGATCCGAACACTCAGGACAACATAAAGGGACTGAGGGTAAGATCAACCCCTCATACAAGGAAGTAGTTTGTGGTGTGAAGCTGGGCATCCTTCCGAAAGGCTATCCCAATGTGGAACTTACTACAGAACAATTGATGGCCACACAAAAAGCAATCATGACCAAAGTTGCTGGACAAAGGAAAGAAGCACTTAAACCAAAATTTGGACATTGTGCCTTCAAGTCGGGCTACTTAGTGATTGTTTGTAAAAACTAGGAAACAGCAGACTGGTTGTGTAGCATAATTCCTACTTTAAAACCCTGGACTGGGGCGGAACTTACTGTGGTGGAGGAAAAAGACATCCCTCGTCCAGAAGTACTAATTGAGTTCTTTCCATGGAGTGCTGAAGACAGAAACGAAGGGATTCTAGCACTCTTAGAGAGCCAAAACGATGGGTTAATGGAGAATACTCCAGCGCAACATTATAAACCAACAACACGTTGAATTAATCTTCACCGTGGATGGAGTTTCTATGAACTCTATCAAAGATTGCGACTTTGTGCTGGATTTTAAATTTGGTAACGCCCAAATTAGGAAGAAATTCCAGAAGAGAAATCTGGCTCAAAGAAATGAATCAAATGATCGTGGGAGACCAGAACACAGGAGTGACCATGACTCCGATAAGACCCACGAGGAAACTGGTGATAACGGAATGGTCGTAGATCATTCAGATAAAATCCCAGGATCCAGTGGTGTCAAGGACATGGAAAAAAACCAGATTCTGGTCATACTACAAATACAGTTAACGAGAGAACAAACGATGATCGAGTGACAAATACAGAATCAGCGCTGGGATACAGAGAAATAAATCTCCAGTCGAATATAAATCCACCTATCGGTAACCGCAGGACTAATGTTGGGGAGAAAGTTCGACCCAATAAGCGCAGCAAATCCAATCAACAACATGAAAAGTAAGCAAATAAAATGTATTCAAGTGAATTCGCACCATGCAAAGGGAGCAACCGCTGTACTTTTCAAACAATTCACAGAAAGTAAACTGGACGTAGCGCTAATCCAGGAGCCATGGGCAAACAAAAGTAGGATTCTAGGAATTCCTACAAAATCATGTAAGTTAATTTATGATGAAGGGCAGCTATCTCCAAGAGCTGCCATTATAGTAAATGAAAAAGTTAAAATTTTTCCGATTACAGAATTTATTAAAAGAGACATCGTAGCAATCATGATGGAGGTGCCAACAACCCACGGCAAAACGGAAATTTATGTTGCTTCAGCATACTTTCCTGGAGACGTGGGAGATGTACCACCACCAGAGGTTGCACATTTTGTGTCTTACTGCAAGAAACAAAATAAAGCATTCATAGTTGGATGTGACGCAAATGCCCATCATACAGTGTGGTCCAGTTCAGACATCAACAGCAGAGGTGAGTGCCTTTTAGACTTTATCTCAAAACACGAAATAGATATCTGTAATAAGGGGGATGATCCAACTTTTATAAACACAATTAGGCAAGAAGTTCTAATCAATTACCAACATAAATGAAGACCAAAATACACGTGCAGCGCAAACTGGCTCTGGAAAAATCAGGACGGAAGTTCAGACACCAATGAATGAATCGACTGGGTTAGAGATTGCCAGGAAAGACGTTCGTAATCTGGCCAATAAAATTTTTACAGAAAAACGAGTCGAATGGGCGATTGATTCTTTTGCTCCTTTCAAATCACCAGGTAGGGACGGAATTTTTCCAGTACTACTTCAGAAAGGAAAGGAAACTTTGACACCCATTCTAACAGGCTTGTTAAGAGCAAGCTTAAGATTAAGTTATATTCCGATAACTTGGCGTCAAGTAAAGGTTATATTTATTCCGAAGGCTAATAAAAAGGATAAAACTTCTTCTAAATCATTCAGGCCGATCAGTTTATCATCCATTATGCTAAAAATAATGGAGAAAATAATAGATCAGCATATAAAATTCACGTCTTTCGTAAATTCCTTTGAGTAAATATCAGTTTGCATATCAAGCTGGTAAATCAACAGTAACAGCTCTTCACACGCTTGTTACAAAACTAGAAAAATCTTTTGAATCAAAAGAAATGTCACTAGCAGCATTCATTGATATTGAAGGAGCATTTGATAATGCATCTTATAACTCCATGAAAAACAATATGTTGAAGCGTGGATTCGACAAAAGCATCTTTAAGCATCGATGCTTTCTAAAAGAGAAATCTCAGCAAATCTTGGAAACTCATCCATAACAGTTAGAGCTGTAAAAGGGTGTCCTGAAGGAGGTGTGCTTTCACCTCTTTCATGGTCTTTAATTGTTGACGAACTTCTCAAAAACTTAGAAGCAAAGGGCTTCGAGATAATTGGCTTTGCTGATGACATAGTCATAATAGTACGAGGAAAATTTGATAATATCATTTCAAATAGAATGCAAACTGCTTTAAATTATGTTTCGTCGTGGTGCGCTAAAGAAGGGTTGAATATAAACCCTTCTAAGACCACTATTGTACCGTTCACACGGAAAAGGAAATTTTCTATAAATAACTTAAAATTGAAAGAAGCTCTTTAGAACTTTCACGAACAGTCAAGTATCTGGGAGTCATTCTTGACTGTAAACTTAACTGGAATTCACATATAGAGCAGGTTGTTAATAAGGCAATAAATGCTTTTTGGATAAGTAAAAAAACATTTGGTAGGAAATGGGGC